CGATGAATCTAGAATCGGTTGGGATGTTTTCGAAAATGCACTTACACGAACGCCGTAGAGCGCTTTCCGCCATATTGGATAGTGTTTACAAAATCACGTTTCGCGAAGGCCGGTATACTCTAAATTCACGCCGCGGCCATTTTGAAACTGAAAACGAGGCTTGGTCCGCAAGCGGTGAGGATGGCTTGGTCGAAGAATCTCGAAAGTGTTCCAGTTATTTCCCAAGAATTTATTGATCGGTGGGCTAATAATACATGTAGGATACCCAGACGGAAGCAGAAAAAAAGGATATGGGTTATTTGTGGAGGGCTACATTCACGACATAGAAGGTAAGTAAAAAAAATGTTTTTTTTCTTAAGTAGATAGTCCAGTTTTCGAGCAGTAGTTTGGTATGCTGGCCAGTGTGCATGGTGTAGTCAGCTTGGTTACATTTAGGACAGATCTGGGTTATCTATATTTTCTCTGGTATGTCTTGTAATTAATAATGTACTATAATAAAAGCTTTTTTTGCAACATTTTACATTTTTTGCAGCTAAATTTGACTCCATGAGCAATCAATGTCAAATAAGGGGGAAAAGCTTCCCCTCCGTGAAGAAAAATGATCCGCCATACAAGCTAATGGTTTGGATACGAGTTTAAGTTCTTCATGTTCTTGTTGGCATGAATGCTTTTCGTATGCTTGTTGTTATTCATGCATTGTCAATTTTTTCGGTTTAATAGTTTGTGTTGGGTTATTTACAAAACGGCTACTGACCAGAGCGTCCACAAAAAAAAATTGGCCAAGACGTCAACAGTTATTTCTTTATTATCATTAATGCATGTATCAGGGCTCCAGATAATTTTTCAACATCAGGAGTACGTACTCCTTTATTTTTCAATATAGGAGTACTGGAGTACATGTAGAGTACTGAATGGAAAATAATGGCGTATCAGTAATCTTGTGTTTTGTTTTATATATGCACCACAACATTGCTGCTCTTGTGTAAACAGGTCAGTAAACAATAAAACAATTTCAGAAAAATACGTCTGTAAATGATTTTAAGACCTGCTGTGGTGCGTATCTGCTACGTTTTCTAAATTGTTTCCACCGTATCGTGCATATTTTCTATCCGTACATACGCCGATACATTGGCCCTTATCTGGAGCCCTGATGTATAGACCATTATTTACCGTTCCGCAGATCCTGCTTAATACTTAATGATATTGTGATCGTTTATATACCATTAGGGGCCTAGGCCATAACAAAATAATGTCTTGTTTCACATCACTTTAAACAAAACAGGCTAGGGTGGGTGGGATTTTATTTTCCTTTGTTTTCTTCTATGTCAATATAGCACTTAAGAAACATTTTGCTCATCAGTTATTAATGAAACTTTAAAATGTATAATTAATAATGCAATAAACTGGATTCTTCTGATAAAAATGTGATGTAACTCTGTTGTGACCAATTTTCTTTCCTTTCAATTCTGAATATTTATATTCATCATATTTTTACTTTCAGATTTCTCTGACACTTCCTGAATCTGCATCAGAAATACAGGTCACAGGAGCAATATGTGATTGCAAGGCCGGAAGGGGACAGTGCTCTCACTGCTTGGGTCTGCTATTTTCTATTTCCCATTTTCAAAAGCTTGGACTTAGAGCAGTTCCACCTGTGCAAAGCAGAACTTCATTGCCTCAGGCCTGGCAAATACCACTAAGGACTGAGGGTCTAACCCCACAAGCTGTGGATTCACTAACTGTAAATAAAGTTAAAACAAGTAGTGAAATGAAAACAAGGAAGAGGAAGAAAAAGGTAACAGAAGGTGTAATACCAAAGGTATACTGTCCTGTGACACCCATACCTCACCAAGAATTTTTGTAATGACTTGGTTAATCAGCTTTCATCAGTAAACAGTAGTGCACAGATATTGAAAGTCATCCATTCATACCAAGAATGCATCGTGACTGATTCGAAGTTTGGTCCAGTACCTCAAGGATCTGTGCTCTCATACCAACAAAAACCAGTCAAGTTGACCTCAGATATCATCAACCACTTGGACCAAAATGACATTTCCCGATTTCATATTGCCTCAACAAGTTTCCATATATTCAACCTGTCTCACTTATTCAGGCTACAATGTTTTTCATGGTCTTTACATGGACAGATCCTTTTGTTTAGAACTTGAAAGTCTTACACGAGAACAAAGTTTTAACAGAACATGGCATGACGTGAGGAAACACAGAATTACTTCATCTGTGTTTAAAGATGTGTGTGTTAGAAAGAATGATTATGAGAAACTGGCTGATCGTATGCTAAATTTGAAACCAATCCAGACAGCAGCTATGAAGTTTGGGACAGAGGAGGAACCTAAGGCAGCAAAATTGTATTCTGAAATTACCAGCAACAATGTGTACTTGAGTGGATTTGTTGTAAATCCAAGTTGTCCTCACCTTGGCACTTCTCCAGACCGCAAGGTTTATGACCCCACTTCAGACCCTAATCATGGATTATTGGAAATCAAGTGTCCAAGCAAAACAAACTTCTCGGCTTGTGACTTTCTTAGAAAAGACATTCGAGATGGCACTTTCAAACTGAAAAAAAGTCATAAATATTATTATCAGGTGATAGGACAAATGGGTCTAACTGGAATGACCTGGTGTGATTTTTTTGTGAAATGTGAGGAGGATTTCCATTTGGAACGTGTGGTATTTGATGATGAAAAATGGCAAGACATGAAGTGTTTGCTTGATAAATTTTATTTTGAGTATTTATTGCCTGCAGTCTGTACTAAACTGTCTAATATTAAATAGATATGTAGACATGCTAATGATGTTAGATGTCTAGAAATCGCTAGTCAAGGATTAAAATAGTATGATGATGTGGAGATACTCTCAGTTTAGCAATGTTGGAGAAATGGTTTCTCACTAAACAAGGAACAAATATTTTGATGTTTTGCACATTTTAATGAAAATGACTTCATATTGCAATATACTGTCAAAATTGGAATTGATTACACTTTAGCAATACTTTTCATTCCGCAATTTTGGATTTAGTGGTTATGTAACCACTATAATATTACAAGTCACACCAACATCTCATCTTATAGGCCACTCAGGTCTTGCTTTGAGTTGTTTTGCTCTGTTTTGGTACTTAAAGTCGCATCAGCGATATTTCAGCTTCTCACAACTACTCCGACACATTATACTGCCTCCGAGTCAAGCAGTCCCTACTCTTTATCCCCTTTAGTGCTGACCATCTAGCTGAAAAGCAGAAGGAATACCAACTTTACACAGGGATGTACATGAAGTTGGGTATTTGATGGTACCTGGGACTCATACTCTTAATTTTCAGGGTCGTGGCCAACAAAATTGGGCTCCCAAACACTTACACCATACAATAACAGTATTAATACTAATATGTATCATGATCATCACATTGTTACAGTAATTAAATTGCAAATAATACCATAACCCAGCTAGTAGCAAACTCAGGGATAACTTACTGCCACTTGATTAGAATTTTTTACCAAAAGTATTTGGGCTTTTTTCTGCATCCCTGTGGACGAGCTAATAAATTTTGTCACAATCAATTGTCAATCGTCCTGTAAATCCCTGTTTTTGTCTTCAGGTATGACACAGTCTGGGGATTTGAGAGTAGAATGCATCTAGAATTCACATGCCTAACTTAATATACTACATGGATAATGTGGTGGGTTAACATATAATCTTACTTATGGAAAACACAACTTCATATGTATGTATGCAAATCTTTTGAGTGTGATACAGTTATTTAATGTCTTCAGGTATGACACAGTCTGGGCTTTGAGAGTAGTATGCATCTAGAATTCACATGCTTACCTTAATACTACATGGATAATGTGGTGGGTTAATACATGTTATTTATGAAAACACAACTTCATTTGTAAGTATGCAGATTTATTAGTGTGTGTTACAGTTATTTAATAAAACAATTTAACTACCAATTCAATGAACAGTTGTCTCTCATCATTTACATGTCTTTAGAGGGTCGGAGCACCAAAACCCACAACACAAAGTGGAAGTCATTGTATGTCTGATTTATGTAAGTTAATTCTGTTTTATTTTGGGGGCAAAATATATTTATACATATAAGTATACTTGAGAAATACAGGTGAGTAATGTGAGATGACTTTCAGCAATGTTTCACCTACATTGTCACTGAGGCTCTGTCTCCCGAGCTGCACAAAAGTACACTGCACAAAGGTTTCAGGATTAGACTGAGTTTGGGAGTGAAATTGTTACATGACTTTCAGCAATTTTTCAGCTCTATCAACATTTGGTGTACACAGAGAGAAGAGACGTGAAAAGAAAGAAAGTGAAAGCAAAAGATCCCCATTTTAGTCGCCTTTTTCAACAAGCAAGGGGTTATCGAGGTCATATTCTTGCTTAGTGTCTGAAGACACTTCCCAGAAATCCAACAAGGTTCATAATAAGACAGACAGACAATTTTATTCATGTATTTAGGCCAAGGCCCATATTACAATATTATGAAAAGTGTGTTAATGCACTGCCTTCCTGTTTAGATTGCTAACCTGAAATTGTTGCACCTGAATTTACAAATAACTGTTCTTAGATGCCTCTTGAGATACAAGATTCAACATGTAACATTGTTTTAAATTGACAATACGTTTGGCACTTACTCGACTGTGAAGTTATAGAGTGCCACACTTGACTCAAGGAATCAAATAATCTTTGTTTAAAAGAGCAGTAAACATTTCAATATTACCAGTGTCATGTCCAAAGTACTCCAAAGCCAAACTGAAATTTCTCACATGAGACGCCCAGGTCTTTCTACCCACATCATCTAGATTCTTCAGCATTAAATAAGACTGATAAGGTCATCTAATTGGATTATTCTACACCAATACTTTGTTGGTTTTAACATATAATTGCATTGGAGTGGTACTCTACCACATTCACCAAGTGCCATAACATCACACATATTCTTATGTAGCCTTAATATCCTCTTACAAAAAACTGGTGTGTACTCTTTCGATGGTTTTACAATAGTGTGTACCCCAAAAGTCAGCTCCATAACAAAAAATTGGAACAAGCATTTTATGAGATATTGTAAAGGCATCAGTACAAGAAACAAAACCATATTTTCTCTGATAGCTAAATAAGGACATCAGAGCCTTGTATGCCTGGGCTGCTGAACAGCTTTGTTCTTTTGACCATGACAAGGTTGGTGTGAAAACCACCCCAAGGTATCTATAGTTGTTAACAACATAAATTTTTTGGCCTTTAAAATACCAATTCTCATAAGTTATTTAAAGGACCACCTCTTCGAAGCACCATGATTTTAGTATTTTGTACATTTACCCTCATACCAGTTCTTTCACAAAATTGTTCTCAGACGTTTATTTTTATCACAATTCAAATGATTTGATACTACATCCTTACTATTAATATCCACAGAGTCATTAGGAGCTGGCGAAAACATGTACGTTGCCATGCATCATGTATCATCATGTTCATAATTAGAAAATTTACCATACTCAACAGTTACAATTTCACTTAAAATAATGGTCCTCGAAAATTTGTAAGAATTGAACAAACTGTCCATATCTGATTGATTGATGATGCTAGGGTGAGAGGAACAACTCCATCAAATATATGATATTCTTTTATACGCCTGATTGCTCTTTCCACATGGATTCTTAAACGTGCAATTTCTTGGGTTTCTGACACCTCTTCTCCACTGAACTGTCCTTTATGGTCAAGAAATGGGGGGATCACTAAACTTGCTTGTTTTTTCTCCAATAAATCCTGTATCAAAAATCCTTTATCAGCCATTACCTCATCACCTGGCTCCAGAAGATCCACAATGCCACATCTACTTGTGATTTCCTTATCAGAAATTGCACCGGTATATAAAGTACTAACAAACGATAAAACTCCACAGGGTGTAATACCTATCAGACCCTTAAACGTTGTGTGGCTCTTGTACGAGGAATAAACCTCTGAGTTCAATACTCTGGAACTAGGAGTCTGCACCTTCACCTCTGTACAATCTATGATGACCCGTGTCTTGGGATACCAAAGTTTGAAATCTCTTGGCATGTTACTGTCAATTATTGAACGAGTTGGCCAAATCTTGATACTTCCTAGCATCACATACAGGTAGTTGGCCCAAGTGATTAATATCCTACTGACTGATGATTGAGACAAATTGAACCTAACTGCCAGATCACGTTCAAGTAGTCCTTGATGCACTCTACATAAAAACATAAAAAACTGATCTATCAAGGGCAGTGATTCGTTATGGAATGCACTTGTTTTCAATTTATCCATGTTTGATGAATGTCTCTGCATCTGCGTCCACCTAATCATGGTAGTAGCTGTGGGCTGTAGGGCTACGAAGACACTCTTGAGAGTTGCATAGTCTTTAAAACCTGTGTGAGGAAAGATAATATATATTAATTACTATATTTTTGGAATTTTTTTGAAGATTGAAATATACTTCAATAGCTTGTTAATCCAACACTGTTCAGCCTACTCCGTGATCAGTTAACCGTTGGTTGTCCCAGGGTTTTTTTTACATGTAAAATGCAATTATGCAATATACAATAAATTATTAAAAATGTGTTCACATTATTAAATACAAAAATATATGAAAAATGGTGGCTACAGATAAGACTGACTGAGTTTGGTTTTACACAGCTTTTAGCAATATTCCAGCAACATCACGGCGGGGACACCAGAAATGGCTTTAGGTAAGAGTCTGTGCAAGAATTATAGGTGATACAATGAAAGTGTGTGATACCTGTGTAGAAATTAATATTCTGAGGATCATTGCTGAAACGCTCCAAGAAAAACAGCTTTTGACTTGTCTCAAGTAGTTGCTGCTTAAGTACTTTCAATTCTGCATGTGCAGCTGCAAGTTGTTCATCAATTGGCTGAGGGGTTATGGTGTAGTCATGATCCATGGAAGCTAAGGGTACTTCATCATGTGAACATGGCATTTCTCCAGCAACCTGAATTTCCATTGGCTCAGGATCAATCTTCCTGAAACAAATTTTAAACAATATAGAGTCACCATCTGTCACTGGAAAATTCTGTGCATATTTTGAGAAAAAGAAAATTGTTTATCAATTATTTGTATACTTTACTCTTAGGGTCAGTTGTTTCATTATTAGAATTACATAATGTGAATTTTCTACCAAAGTCTCAAGAAAAAGCATGTATATGTATCATAAAATTGCTGTCTCAAAATAGTGATTACATTGCACAATAATCTCAAGAAAGCAATCACAAGCCAATACTAACTTCAATGATCTTCTTTGTGGACCTATCCGTTTTGATGGGGATCTCTGTGTCCATGGAAAGAGGGTAGGAACTGATCCTGGTAGTAGCGTTCTCTTTCCTATTAAAGTACGACGAATATCACCTGCCTTGAAATGAGATGAGCAGACCCTTGTTTTGTCAGAAAGCTGAAAATATGATAGGTGTATAGATCTATTATATGCATTGTCTTATAATCAGATTACTTGTAATGATAAAATTATGTGTGTGATCACTACCGTCACTAATGTTAAACCCAATCTTTGATGTACTGAAAGATGGCATAAACTGTTATTATCATGTAACACAAAAGAGCTTGAGGTGGAGGAGAATTCTTCTCCAATATTGGCTGGGATTACTTTCTGGGTCATTGAGCAGCTACAAAACCATTCCTTAGTGGCTGTTGTAAACACTAACTTGATTATTTTTATTAAATATTACTGTGTACACACATATGCTACAATCATGTTCGACTTGTAACCCTATAATTTGTCCTTAATTGTGTTTAATTCTCTAAAAACTGCAAGGCTGGTCGCCCTTTCAACGCATTTCCAACAGAGCCGATATTCCGAATTGGGTATCTCATATTCATAAAAAAATATTACTTTGGGATAAGTATTGCAAAGTGAGTAAGAGTATTTTAGCTGCTCGGAAACAATCGCACATGTTGAAAGAATTGATATTTACCTTGAAATATGGTCCGACATCTCTTCTTATCTTAACAAGCCATTCTTTTCTTAAGTTCTTTTCAGCAGGGATTCTGTGAAAAAGACAGCTGTCCCTCGGTGTCATAACGAGAATCATTAGTGCACATCGGTACACAGCAATGCAGGGCCGCCATTGTTTGTGCACCAAGCCTCGTTCTGAGTTGAAAACATGGCGGGCGTGAATACAGCCTATTGAGACGCCTATTACATCACGTATATTTCATATTCAGCTTCGAAAAATGCATCACTGAATTCCCCATACATTTTAGAATCGAATTGCAACTGGTCTTTGTCACCAATACCAACTGTCTAGATAAAATGAGACGAAACATATTGGGTGTGAAAACGAACGCTATGATTGAAAGACTGCGCTTATGTCTGAAATGTAAACAAAGACAAATTCCGATTTTACACTGCGTAGCATTTTCTGAAATTTTTCAACATTCATCCGTCTATTCATTGCTTGCAATGGCTCAATACCTTTGGAATATGCACGGAAAGAGTATCGTAGCAAGCAAGGAAATTATAAATGGATACAATGCAATGATTTGATAATTCATAAGAAATTGTCAAAGTTTCCGTGCAGCGTGACGCCATGACTGACGCAAAATCACGCAGAACGACAACGGTAATTATCTGCATTTCTGGCTTTTTCTCTTACTTATAGTGAAAACGATAAAAACATATAACAATACACAGATAGTCAGAATCATTCTGATTACTTACATGTCATATTTATGTACAAACGATCCCTGAATCAATGGAAGGGTCCTCGCAAAATCCTGTGTACCTTTGTCAGCAAAGCCGCCATTTTGTGAGAAATCGGTCAGCGGTAGTGATGTCATACGTCAACATTGTTGCAATTTCTTTGAGGTGAAGGTCGGTTGAAAAGAGTAAACACAATCGCCCAATCTTTCCGATTACACTGTCAGTATATTATGGTGTATATTTTGGGTATAGTTCAGATACTTTTTCATGAAACTGACTTCAGTATCTACATTTAGCCTTGTTCAATATCATATCATACGTGCATATAGGGTTTACGGTGTTTTATTCTTTGAAAGTTTTTGATTGTTTGAATCATATTTACATAAGAAATTGACATATTTAGTGCAATACACCATATTCTAAACCTTTACACAAGTGTTAGAAGATCAAACGTAGCCATAACTGCAACTACTGTAGTTCCTATGATGTATAATATTCAATTTATTTGGACTAATATTGCAATTTCATATGAACAGGTTAATGAACGGAGATTTAATTCAACCTTATATGTAAAACTGATAATATTAATGAAAATGATTTATATATGGTAAGAAATTTATATGCACACATATTTAAAGGAATGTCTTGTTCATTGCATAATTTTGTGTCGTTTTATAGACAAAAGAATGATGCATATTGATCGGCCAGGTGCGCGTTTGTTGGAAACATTTTATAATTCTCAGCATTGTTTTCGATAATATAATCAATTCATATTCGATTAAATAATATTGTGATGACAGGATATCAAACTCTAACTACATTTATAGGAAAATTGTTGAAAAACCATCTCATGTGTTAATTCGGACAAATCTTACATCCAGAGTCTAATATATAGTTCCATATATAAAAAGCTATCTTTTTGCATCTTTCATTGCATACGTATGAAAAGAAATAGCTACATAATCATAAACAAACAAAATTCTTATCCCAAACAAAATATTCGGGTGTTGTGAAATATTATTCTTATTTACGTTAAGTTGATGCCAAACAGGTGCGCGTGTTGTTCACAATAAGATACGCTATCAAACCGTCTAATTGTTGATATATTCAGGACACTATTTAAATGGAAAAATCAGTCATTTTATGTTTTGTCTAAAGAGTGTTAAATTCTGACGTAGAAGCCGAGACCTTTTATACAATTAATGGACATTAGGTGAGATATCTACTAATCAGCATACCAATGTCGTCTTTTTCCGACGTCGCAAAATGCATAAAACAAGCAATGACGTCAACTAAAATGTTGTATTATTTTCAGCAATTTCATTACATTTGAAGATATGGCTAGTATTCTGGTAATAACGATGCAAAATTAGTCAGATTACATCTACACAAACAGGAGGATATGGGAATCTAAGAACTAACTTATATATCGGATAGGGCCATCCAAATCGCTATTATGTGCTTTCACATGCAATACGTTGTAATTTCTCTTGTAAATTGTGAAACTACCAAACTGCATCCGCTCACATTGGGGAACTTTGAATTGGAATAGTTTGGTTCACCATAAACATAAAATAACGAAAATATAGGGTCCGTATCCACAACAAATTCTCACCAAGTGATCTGAGTTACATTGACCTAATGTTAAGCATAACGGAGTTATGCCCCCTTATCATTATACGTGTATGACCTCCCTGTCGTCGTTTGACGTCATAGAAGAAAATCCATTTTTGACATTTATTGCGAGTCATTTTTAATGTTGAGCGCATAACGTTATGCACAAGCACATAAACCCAATTCATATACACTTATGTCGTTCAGATATCAGGCTGTATTTTCTTCACTCACACTTTCCGTAAAGAAGCCATATTAAAAATTCGTAGCACAGTGCTTTTATCGGTGCGCGATAAAAAGCCGATAAATGTACTGTTTTTTAACGCATAGCAAAATTTTGGACATCATTAAGCAGTGTTTATTTCTCAAACCGCCAAGGTAGTTGCACTTATATTTATACCAACTGAAAGGAAATTTAATATTCTACATTTCTGTGTAATTTTATAGCCGTACGTAGATCCAGGACTACGCGAGCGCAATTCTCGCACAACGTTCACTTTTCAAACTGTATGAAAATTTGCTCCTGAAAAAAAACTCGGCATCAAGGGGGTTAATGTTTGAAAAATAATTACATGCATAATGTGTAACTGCGGGTGGTTATCTTGAACGTGCTATCTTCCAAATATATTTACATTTCATATACGATACCGGCCATGTCCTCGAGAATTCATATCACATCTCAGTCTTCACTGAACCAATCTATTTTTACGAAAGTTTGCAAAGTTACCCAGATTACAAACTTATATTATGTGCTTCTGATACGCGAGCACTCGACAAAGAATCAGTTTGATAAAATTCAGGATAAGGCTAAGATACACAGGAAAAGTGATTCATATTGTATTTGTATGGGTTCACGATTAATCCATCAATGTACATAACCCACGAAGGACGAACTTCAATATCAAAACAATTCATCGGCATCGGAAATCAGATAGCAACATCTAAATCTTACTTGAAAATCTAAATTTAATAATTGCAAGTAGCAAGGTCATGCGTTCCATGCATCAGGGTCACATATCAACAAGCCTCTGACATGTATTAATAACTTTGACAACTGTAAATGTCAGTTACTTATGAAAAGTTATATTACAAAGACTGGTGGAGTGAGAAAGCCTTAGAACCCACCAATAATTTTACGGGACACCCAGATACGGATCGAGGGTTGATAAGGGGCATGGTATGGAAAACAGAGGGTGCTACTTCAATCACTAAATACTAACCGATCTGTCAGAAAATGATCTTGCCAATAAGGCTGATACCAGAGATGGTTTTCCCGTCGATTTCCAGACTGTTCCGCTGCTCTCCAACAGGTATCGGTCACCATAAAACATGTTCACACTTGAATCATTCTTCTTTCCATGTTCGCGTCTTTTCATACTGTCGAGTTCATTTCCGAGTCTAGTTCACCACTCTTGGAGACAAGCTAGGAAGCAAGGGTGTTATTCAGCTGACATGGAAGATCTAACAGTTGACCGTTAACAAGATGACGTCATATTCATGACATCATCTAATAAATGACAACGCCGTTGTATTGTGACGTCATAAACTATCTATGCCCTTGCATGAAATGCTTTGCGAACTGTTTCGGGTTACCATACCCCCTGCGGCCCTGTCTGGTGTACACATTGATGTGTCGCTATTATCGGGTAACTAAAGCCTACATATCAAGACTGATATACATTATATAGCGATAACAGTGGGTAATAGTGAGCCGTCTTTGGTAGGAGAAAAAATCCCCTCAAACACTCCGACTTCAAGGAAAGAAAGTCTTCTTTATCAAAGGTGAAGAGAATTTTTTGTTAATGGTTGATGACCACAGATTGCGAATCAGCATCTGTCACTCCAGAGAATGCTTTTTTGTTCATCACAGGAAGAAGCGGACACTGGAATCACTCTTCACGTTTTGCATGTTGATGCTCAGCATCCTTCTGCTGCAGAAGTTGTGATATTATCAAGTGATACATATGTGTTTATTCTGCTTCTGAAGGTTGTTCAAAAGGTGAAAACTTCTGTTCTATTTGACACAGGCACTGGTGACTAACGAAGACTTCTGGATGTACAAAGTATCATCAATCTGAAAGGGTCCACTCTGTGCAATGTCCAGCCAGCCCTTATGCATTTACTTGCTTCACTGCGGCATGGTATCTCAGTGGGCTAGCACTATAAAACCAGCTTCATTCTGGGCTAGTACAAGCAGCCGCACATACTCATACACACGCATGCACGTCGTCATATGAGCGAAATATTCTCAAGCACGACATTAAACCCAATTTCACCTCACCTCACCTCACCTCACCTCACCTCATGCATTTGCAGGACGTGATTCCACCAGTGCCTTTGTCAGACGCGGCAAAGTTCTCCCCATTGAGCTTCTCGAATCTAACCCTGAATTTGTGAATGCCTTTTCCAAGATAGGGCTTTCTGATGAAATAGCTACTGACTTGTTGAGGTCTTTGGACTCCTTTGTCTGTCATATGTATGGTCAAGTCACACACAATGTAAATGAGGCTCGCTACCAAATCTTCGTGAAGAAGTTAAAACCAAAGGGAGGACAGACTATGACAAAATATGATGGTGTAGACATGAGACTCCTTCCACCTTGCAGAGACTCCCTACACATGCACATACAGCGTGCGAATCACCAAGCCTTGATCTGAGTCAATGCTGACAAGAATCACCCCAGTGTTGCTCACCCTGTGGGCAATGGGTGGCTGAAAGAGGGAGTAAATGCTC